TAGATTGGTCCTTTACCGCTCGTAGTAGTGATCCTCAGCGATATCTTGGATTTATTGAAATTTGGTCGATACAATGTTTAAATTGAAACAAAGTATCCGATCACGTTGGGGACTCCCTTGTAAGACTCAAAAGTGGTTGTGAAACCCTTTTGCTGAATTGAGAAGGGGATGGTGGAGGTGCAAACTCTGCCCTTCTATACTATCAGAAACAAGACCCCCAAGCTTAGCTTGGAAAGTTTTAATAGTGTGATAGGATTGGTTGGTTCCGGTAAAAACTTTGTTTGATGAAAGGTAAAGGTTGAATGTATAATTGCTTATAAAATAAACTGTTATGTGGTGTAACAGGTGAAAGGCTTATATAATTGTTTGTAACTGGTGAGTTATATATTGATTTACTGCTGAGTGATGACTGAGTGAATGAGTAGATGAGTGAACTGCAATGAGTGAACTGGAATGGATGAGTGGATGAGTGAACTGGAATGAGGAGACAACAAATGGGGGGAAAGAGATGTGCTTGACTGGGTATTGGCTTGTGATATGCGTCCGTAGGGGTGTAACTCCAATCCGTGAGGGTTCCAATGATGCGTCCAGTGGTGAACTAGGCTGAAATTGTCCGTAGAGTCCATTTCTGAAGCCATATTGGTTGATTTCTGAGTGAATGTATGATAAAAATGTATATAAAAGAAAAACTTTGAATTTTTTTACATATTTAATTACCACACCGTTCTTCTGGACTTGATCTACCAAACTACGTCCTTTGGCAATCAGGTAGTCCAAAGTCTCGGCTTGCTGTTTTCCCTTATCCTGTGCACCCGATTGGTTTTCCCAAACTATTTGAGTGATCGTACTCCCGCTTCCGTCGCTATCAGAACTATCAGAAGACTTGTTCCACGCTTGCTCGTTTCCGGTGTTGTGATCCGCCAGCGTGAAGAACTGTCCAGGAAAGCTCATCCACTACTTTTTGTACCGTTTGACCAAGGAATTTGTTTCCCGATGAGGCCCCCAATTTGTGGAAAGTAAGGCGTGCCCTAGGAGATTTCTTGCACTTCTCCGCTCCGCAAAACGTCCTACTCTGGTTTTGTTGTCCAGGGTAACTTGCTTGATGGTCTTGTAGGTAGGTAAAGTAAATATTCTTTTATTGGCTTTTTGATAGGTAATACTCTAACTCTTAATATCTAACAATTCTTTAGGCTAATACACAATTCACTCCTAAGTCACCCTGTTTTTCTGATATGTTCTGAGTCATAAGTCCCCCCTCTCCCCTTTCTCTTCCGCTCCGAAATCCACTCTTCCCAATTATCCCACACTCAAGTTTCCTCCTGCTTCCCACGATGTCCTCCGCTGTCACTCCCTCGGACTCCGCTCGTCACCCCTCCGACGCCTGTCGGTCCAGGTACTCCTCCGGCCGCTCATGGACAGGTCTCTCACCGCTGCTTCCGCCTCTGGCTCGCTCCAAACCCCGCTTCCGCCCCTCGGTGCCCCCGCTCCTTGTAGCCCCTCCGCAGTATACGCTGAAACCCCCATTCCGCAGTTGGCCGTGAGCTCCGGTGTCCGCCAGTGCCCGGATTCCCCGCAGCAAGCTTTTCAGAACCTTGCACATTCGGCCTGCTTTTCCCCTCTTTCCCGCGCCTCGGAAAGCTAGAATTTCCCCTAATGCACCACCGCTTTCCCCGGCTTGCGTGTGTAGCGTCAGCTCCGCATGCTTTCCGCATGCACCCAAACAAACCGGCCAAAGCTTTGGTCAAGGTGCGCTCTCGCCACCACAGCGGGTACCCGCCCGCGGGTGCTGGGTGCGGGTGTGGGTGTTGAGTTTTGGGACAAAAGAACAGCGGGTACCCGGGTATCCACCTTGACACCCGCCCTGGGAATGCAGTTTTGGGAGTGTTGCGCTGCACCAGGGTGTCAGCAGCCCATGAAGGACACCAGTTGGTGTCCTACATGGGCCTGTTGAGGCTGGAGGAAACCCTCCGGCCTTCGAGACTGTACACTGTCTCAATGGCCAGAGGGATTCCTCCGTTCATTGAGACTGTACAGTCTCAATGACATTAGGTTGTTGCTTCATCAACAGGAAGGAATCCTTTCCGGTCAATGAGGTTGTTATACCTCATTGATCGGAAGGATTTCCTTCAGATCAATGAGGTACAACAACCCCATTGACCAGAAGGAATCCCTTCCGGTCAATGAGGTTGTTATACTTCATTGACCAGAAGGATTTCCTTCAGATCGATGAGGTATAACAACCCCATCAACCGGAAGGAATTCCTTCCGATTGATGAGGTGGAACAGCCTCATTGACTGGAAGGAATCCCTTCCGGCCAATGAGGCCCATAGACCCCTCCACACCCACAGGTACCTGGGTACCCGCCTTGGCAGACCTGGAGGGTGCGGTTGTGGGTGCGGGTGTCCAAAAAAAGTGATTTTTGAGGTGGGTACCCGGGTTAGCAGTGACATCTCTAATCCCCCTCCCGTGGTTGATCAACTGCTGCTTTTGCCACATTGATTGGAATGTGAATAGGAAGTTAGGTGAATTTCTTGAGTCGGGCAGGAAGGTGTTCCATGACTGCTGCCTGAGTTTGTCCTCCCACAGTTGGATTGATTCAAATGCATTGGCATTCTGCTTAGCAAGGACCCCCATGCGGGTACGAATCAAGTTTTTGACATGGTCATACTTAATGATGTTTGCTTCAGGTGTGACTGCATCGCTGTCCATCTGGAAGAATGTGGGCTTGCGGTCAGTTACACCAAGTATAATGGATTGTAGACTGTAGTTCAACCGTAAACAACAAAGGTAGGTTACTTGTATAATTTCGGTGGTTTGCATGAGTTGGTGAATGGATTTCCAATTGAGACCTGAAATCACCCGCTCAGTGAGCCACTGCTTGACCATCTTAGGAATCCGGTTCTGCTTGATCTCATTGGCTGAAAAAGGATCATGGTTGTGTTGCCAGTCCCATTCAACCCGGAGAGTGTCCATCCGGATGTGGTGAAATATACTGAATCGGCTCTTGCAGCCACACTTCTGTGATAGAGTGTTCTTCTTACAAGAGTTGGGGGTTGAAAGGTGAATGCCTCTGCGGGGGCATTTGTATTCAAGACGGAAATGATGTTCAAAAGGGCGGCCAGTCTTTCCTGTTGGTGGAGTCGGTCCATCTTCTTTTTTTTGGAAGATCGTGAGGCACTCCAGTAGACAGTGGCCTGCATTGCAGTGAAAAAAGCCTCAGCATCAGATCTTGTGTGTCCTGGTATTGTGAATTGGTGTATAGCCTCAGGAAAAGATGGTGCACTCCCATGCACTTGGCAAATCATTTGCAGAGCATTTGGGTCAGCTGTCTGAGCAGGCTTGACTGGTACAATCTGGGTGAACGGGAGAGGAACTATGTTGTAAATATCTTCAACTAAAGGGTAGGTGGGTGGGGCAATGTGTCTAGCAGGTTGCTTCATGGTGGAAAACAAGGGTTTAAGTGGTGAGATGATGTGGATTGAGTGACTGGTTGCAATAGACAACAGTGTAAATAATGGGAGAAGTGATGGGGAACTGTTTATGGAGATGTAGAAAAATGGATGGTTGTTGTAAACTGAGGTGCACGGAAGCGGGTAAGGAGGTTGTTGATTTGTATCTGTTTCTGAAGCAGAGAAAGAGGAGGGATTTATGAGAACGGGTGTGGTAGAAAATTAAGAAGTTGAGGGTATTGGGAGAAATTAATTAATGAAAGGCAGGAGCAAGTGTCGGTGGAGATTAGGGAGGGTGGAGGCAGGTTTCGGAGGAAATTAAGGAGACACAGAGGCAGGGTATAGTTTTGTTGGTTAAAAGATGGATTGAAAACGAGGATGATAACAGGGGAAGGATTCAAGAGGACAATTGAAACTGAGGATTAAGGGTGAAGGCACAAGGATTGAGGGTGTAGTGATGTGATGAAAAAGGTGGCAGGAGGTAATAAAGAAATGTAGAAGGATTAAGGTAACAACTGGGGAGTTAATAGTAATGGCGGGCCGGCCGGGAGACAGGAAAAATAAAAGGGTATGAATTGAAGGGAGCTGCTGGACAGGATAGAGAGCTGTACTAACAGAAGAGCATATATACCCATGGCCTCCCTTGTCCAGGTAGGACTTGAAAGAAATTGTGCATGGTCTTGAGTCTGCAACTCTAGGTTGACCTGCTGGTGCACCTCTGTTCCATTTTGGGAGAGCAAGCTCTCATGACAAGCATCTTGGTGGGTGCGTCGGAAATGCAGGTCTCTCCGTGCATCACAGATGAGCACTGGATATATTTCATTACACCAAATGGGGCAAGAGATTTACGTTGTAATTATACATTTGTTGTCTACTGGAGGACTTCCCGTCGCAGTTTACAACCCTCCCAGAATTGAAGTTACACCCCCTAAATCTTAATTTTTGGTACAAAAAATTGTTTTTCCAGAAGCCTTGTGATGATAGCTCTCATGTGAGCTGGTTAAAATTATGATTGGGGTGTTAATTTAGGACTGGGGAGGGCTTAAAAAGTACTCTAAATGGTGACGGGAAGTCGTCCACTTATTGCTTCCACATCCGATGAGTGGCTAAGTTTGCTCATTGTGAAGTTTCACCAATTCACAAACCCTTGGTTTAGTTTGTACTATCTTCTGCATATTTAGCATAGCCTGAGCCTAGCAAATGTCTATTTTGTAACTTAATCTTCAACACAGGGCTAACTGACTCAATTGTGGTGTTCAAAATTACCTAAGTATATTTTTACTTAATGGCATAATCCTGCATAATCTGCAATTTTGGCTGGGACCTGTCAATTTGAGTTTCAAGTATGCTGACAGGTCCCAGCAAAAATAATACATTATGCAAATAAGTAAAACTTGCTTAGGTAATTTTGAACACCATAAATGATGTGGTTGCTCAAAGCACACAAAGTCAACACTCATGAAGTCAAAGTAGATCATTTGGTGTGTTATAAATGGACTATATTACGTGTGTTGATACTCATACAATAGTTTCTAGTTCTTTAGCATAGCCAAGAGTAGTTTCAATGATTTTTTCCTTGGCTAATTCATGTTTGGTAGCATTGTTTTCAGCTGGGAAGTTGATGGTCTGCGATTTGGGATCCACAAGCCACTTTCGCTGAAAAAATCATCCCCAGGTCGTTAGATTCCTCTTCCCAAGCAACAAGAAACTAAGACGTCGAGTACAAAGCAAGGTTGGAATAACTCAACTTGTTGTGCAAACTCGATGACTTCACCAGGGGTCTTGAAAAACAGCAGAGTTCCTGCATCGTTCAGGGGAAGAGAACTATAGGCCTTTTCTTGACAAGAAGCAATCTCGTTCCTGGAAAAATATTACATTTGAAAATCTAAAATCAGCCCAGAAATTGAACACCATCGAGAGAGAACTGGGAGAAACACCAAGAAAGTACTAGAAGAACCAACCGAATTGTATCAACAAGTAGGTCAACGAAATAACGATACTCCTCCATTGGCATTTGTGATCGGGCTCCCCAGACCTTTGAATAACTACCTTCCATCAACCATCGCTCTAGATTGACTGGATGAGAAATATATTGGTTTGTATGAACTATTGAACCAAGGCATCCCCGATACACCAAAAAGCAACAACCATGAGAAACAAAGGTTAAGTCAGTCGGACTAATAAAATAATTCGTGACTCGAAAAAAGAAAATCACTCAAAACGAATATCAATGTTTTTTTGGCCGTGTTCTTTAACTAATCCTTCTAAAACGGTGTGGAACTGGGCGATTTTATTCTGAGAAAGAAGTCTTAGTAAATCGAGACCAACGAGAGGATATCGACGTTGCGATGAAGGTAACAGTGAACTGAGATCGATAACAAAAAAAAGGTTGTCAGATGATAATCATGATTGAAAGGACGTGATCCTGCATATGAGGTTGAAACAATACCTGTAGTCATTGTAGTATGACCCGAGTTGAGAGATGTAACGCTCAAAAGCTGGAATGTCCTGAGTTCTTACTGAATAGAAGGCCCCTATCTCAAGGATATCACCTGACAAAAAAAAAGATCACGAAAGAATCAGAATTGGATGGCCATAAATGACAGAGCTCTTCGAAATATCGGGCTTACGTGCTTTAGCAAGTGATTCAGCATCGATCGCGTTCTTATCAGTCAGAGACGGCATCAGCAATGAACTTTGAGCAAGTGCCAACTAAAATTTTGTTCATAAAAATGGGGCTCGAGCAATGTCAGATTTTTCTTTATTAGACAGAAAATACGAAGCAGAAGGACACTGTAAATCGATACCTTAAGCTTAAGGAGCAGCTGAGCAATCGTAGGATCCTTCGCTCCGGGAGCCCGAAATTGTTGCTGAAGCTGAGTGTACATTCGTTCGGCGTCTGGAGAGAGCTTCATCGTCGACATTTTTGATTTCTAGTTTGGATGTGGCGGATGAACGAGTTGATGAATAACTTTTCAGTGATCAAGGTCAACAAGAGTCTGTGGTGTTTGTTCTGCGCTAGATGGGTGATTACTAAAAACTTCGGATCGGATCAAGTTGTCGTCATCGAGGCTTGCGTTGAGCCGTCGTCGTCAGCCATCCAGTTGAAGCATATGACGCTTGGTTGGCCTGCGGGAGGAAGCCGAGGAATGCTTATATCGAGTGTCAATCGATTCACTTGACCTCATTCCTCCAAGCCGACAATACGCTTCCCTCTCCCATCTCCTTTTTTGTACGCAAACATTCAAGTCTTGAAAACCTGGTTCAGAAGATCTCAAAGATGGAACACGACCTCGACATCAACCGACTCAAGTCTGGCGAGCTCAACCTCGGCACTTCGATCATGGCAGTTGCTTTCGAGGGCGGAGTGGTGATCGGGGCTGACAGTCGAACAACCTCCGGTAGTTATATCGTCAGCCCACTAGTTCTCTCCTCTCCCTTTGACTGTTAATTAGAATCTTTTTCTATGCTAAAAGAATTGTAAATTATTTATCTTTCGGAAATTCACAGGCCAATCGAGTCACTGACAAGCTCACCCACATCCACGATCGTGTTTACTGTTGTCGGTCTGGTTCTGCTGCTGACACTCAAGCCGTAGCGGACTACGTCCATCTTTACTGTCAAATGTACACGTCAGTAAAATTGAAATAATTCTCCTTGCAATCCAAATTCTTATATGTATTCAAACATCCGACCATGTTGTGATTTTTAATTAGGGCCCAGCATGGACACGCTCCCTCAGTCCACACAGTTGGTACAATATTCGAACAGATCTGTTATTGTTAGTCTGTTCTATCAAAATCAGAAGCAGAACATATCAAACTGATATGAATGTTATACATCAACGCACACAGCAAACAAGGACAACTTATCGGCAGGGATCATAGTGGCTGGATGGGATGCACAGACCAAGAAAGGATCGGTTTATAACAGTAAATAAACTGCCTTGATGTATCACACTTATTCGAACACATAGATCACTCAACAGCTTTCTCTTGGATTGACCGACCAACAGTCCCGCTAGGAGGAGGTCTCTTTCAACAACCATGGGCGATTGGCGGAAGTGGATCGACCTACATTTACGGATACTGTGATTCGAATTACCGTGCCGGTTGGACGAAAGAGGAGACCGTTGGATTTGTGAAGAATGGTCAGTCGTTTACCATTCTCTCAAAACAGAACCAACTTCACCAGTCTAGCAAAGTGAACCAATCCTTCGTGTGATTGCAGCATTGGCCTTGGCGATGTCTCGAGATGGAAGTTCGGGGGGAACGATTCGAATGGCAATCATAACCGAAGACAAAGTTGAAAGGGTCTTCATCCCAGGTAATCAACTGCCTGTATTTTGGGAAGCCTGAAGGAATAAAAAAAGAGAAATCCGAATCCCTGACTCATTTCCGGCAAGAATGCCGGCTAGGAAGGTCAGAAAACGTTGGAGACTCAGAAATATATACGCCGGTTTTATCAACAGAGATCGGGGGATTCATGTGGTTGATTTGACACGCTTGACACTACTACGTTGACTGTGGCATCAAGATGATTGTCATTTGTATTTTTTTTTTCTATCAATAAAAGCTACAAAAACAACACAATCCCACGGGAGGCCACTACGCTCAGTCTTTTTGAGTTGCGGAAGGAGTCATCTGTGCTGAGACAGGCTTAAAAGAGTGGGACAGCGGAAGTTTGATGGTGGAGTGGACAAGAGGATTGGGGCTTTACTCGGTGAAGCTGACAGTCAGGCAATCTATCAAATCATTCTTCATATTTCACCTTTGCAGATAAATGGGGATTATGCCTTGCTAAAGAGAAGCTTCATTGAAGCTACATTCCAATATCTGTTCTTCAGTCAAAAATACATGCACATTAGAACTGGCATCAGGCTCTGAAAGTGGATTTTTTAGTACGTTCTGCTTTCACTTTCATTATTTCATCCATTTCAATTTCCACTCAAATCATTATAAGGAGTTGAGAAGGATAAAACACCAGGAATTGCAAATGCATTGTGGCTAGCCTTTCCCAGAGGGGCAACATTCACAACGACGTGTTTATCCCACGCCCTAAACTTAACCTTACCAAGTCCCAAGTTAAGTTTGTATGTATCGCAGGGCAGCGCACCGACGGCGACAGACCTATCCGGGGGCAGTTTAGTATTCCGCAGCGGGGCTCCACCCACTTCCCCCCGAAGCATACCCTAGTGTATGCCCCAGGGTGTTTGTCCGGGTTGAAGGCTGCAAGGGTTGGAACTTGGAAGTCGACAGGCCACTCGATCACTTCCTCCGTCACAACTACTTCGACGGTCACCAGTGAGTTTTTTTATTCGCCATCGCTTTGCTTGGGTTTCATCTTGGTTGTTCAGTGCTTAATCGTTTTCTTTCTCCAGTTGGCAGCTCCAACAATCTACTGAAATCTCGGCGTCGCAGGACAAAAAAATCAAGCCAGTTCTTACTGCGAGAAACTCGTATATCAGATCTTAATTGAACCGTTCACTAGTCACCTATCCAAGCTCAGATCAAATGCTAGCTCAAAAAGATATGACCAGACCTCAGATTGACCAGCATCATCAGCGGGAAGATTACCGAGCCACTCGCTCACGCGTCGAGGGTGATGTTCGGGATTCAGATCGAAGGGGTTTCCATCAGTCTTCCTTGCCTCGAGAAAGACACACTGAATCTCGTCCACTTCCACGAGACAGTCCACCTAGACCACCTCCTCCTCATGATCGAAATGCTGAACGTATCTACCGAGACCCACCAGGACCGGAAACCGTCCCTCATGGGGCTAGTCTGCCTGTCGACGCTCATGGCCCAGTGGACTCGATCCAAAACGCTCCAGTACCGAACCCTAGCAAGATCTACATCGGCGGTCTACCCGAACTCACCAGGCCCGAAGACCTTCAGGACTGCTTCTCTCAGCTAGGTCGGATCAAGAACATCGAACTCAAGAGCGGTTACGGATTCGTGGTGAGCTCAACAGACCTCAGACTATGCACTTGATTATGTTCATCACCTTCCAGTCACTCCTCATCTCCTTCAACTGGCCTTAGCCGCTATTTCAACAACTCTTGCTTCCGTCTGCGTATCACTTCACTTCACATCCGCCCCCATTGGCCTCAGTCTTTCTTACCGCACCTCTCTGAGATATACCCATCGGAGTTTCTTCACAACTATCTCAACAACCTACTCGCTCATCTGAAGCCCTTGTCCACACTGGCAGAGGATGATCAATTTACCTACTATCACTAGTGACTTGCGCTTCGAATGTTCTTTGATCAACATTAGCATCTACCGCATCATCATCCATCTCATCAATGGCGCCTGGTTCACCCGTCTGGGAGTTTTTTTTTTTCACCAGCTAAATACGCACTGTTCTATTGATGATGGAAGGCCAACTCCCCTCAGTGATCAGTCTTGACATGCAACAGCTTGAACCTGTTTCCCGCCCAGAAGCCTAGACCCTCTGTTAATTTCGGCAAAACAAAAATACTCAAGCAATCCTCTGCGTGCCTATGTGCCGTTTTTCTTGAACGCTCCCCTTCTAACAGGAATACGATAGCCCACAAGCGGCATGCGACGCGGTCTCAAAGTATCATGAAGGTACCTTCTTGGGATCTCAAATCAAAGTTGAACTGTCTCATGGTGGAAGTAGACCTCGACATGTCGCAGTTTCCAACAATCCAGAAGCTTGCTATACTTGTGGCATCATCGGCCATTGGGCGCGAGATTGTCCTGATGCCGACAGTCAATTATATCCCAAGCGGTGTGCCTCTTTAGTCAAATTCGATTTCAACCCAACTGAACAGGAGCCTTCATAAAACTAGCTGCTCCTTCTATACATACGTTCTCTTTTCTCGTCAATTGTCTGATGCTTTACTCTGTCTACTTCCACAATCTAGTCGATTACGAGCTCGCTCACCTACCCCTCCTCGTCATCGAGAGAATGCTTACATGAACCGAGACTCTAGACCTGAGGAGCTTTCGTCCCATGAATATCGCCCTCATCGTCGCAGAAGTCCTCTGGGAGAGATCGACTATAGTCGGACTGAACGAGAAAGATTACCGCCCTCTTCGCGTGAAAGTTACTTTCAACCAGCTTACCTTGAAGACAAGCGTTATCGTCCGGAGCATTCCTTACGTGATCGCGAGCGCGATGAGCCGAGGGCTCTTGATCTCAAGATCTTACCCCGGAACGATGATCACAGGGCCCCGTATTTGATAACCCCGTCTCGCTCACGCTCCCCACCGCCCGGCTCTCGGGACTATTATACCGCCGAACGCACTCGTCCTGCGGCTCCATACCCCATCCGATCTCTCCCACGAGATGACTATCAGAGTCGAGTCCATGTTATCAAGCCCTATGCCCCTGAGCCGACTTACTATCGTGACCATGTTGTACGCGCACCAGAAACTACTCGTGTGAGTCGATACGAAGACAGATCACCTGGAAGACCCCACTGGGCGCATCCCGCCGAGAGAGTCGTTGAGCCCACGCGAATTGATCGAAGGTTTGTAAAATCACATTTGTGTTAGTTTCTCCTAGTGATGACACCCACTTAATTTATTCCTGTACTGTCTTTAGGTACGAAGCAGCGGATGCTAGAATACCAGCCAGAGGCCATTCCCCCCGTCGGTGAGTATCTTCTGAGGACCTACATATCATGTCTGCCAAAAAGAAAGACCCTTCTTAACACTGATTGTGACCATCTTGGTACATGTAGAGCCCGAAGCCCACGTCGCTCGCCCTCCCCGTCTCGCCGTCCCCTCGACCACAGAAGACTTGCCGGTCGGATCCACTCTCCGCCACCCTATGAGCAAACGGGCTACGCTAGACCGGCTTATCCCATTCGCAGATAAGAGCTCTAGTCTCCCCCCACAAAAGAGGTCGTTTAGACATCACAATATGACCTCTCTTGGGACCTTTTTTTCATACACATGTTGAATGATAGTGACTATTCTGTCCATCTGAAGATGATGTTTCTGCTTTACCCCCTCCCCTTTTTTTGTTCTCCCACTTAGATATACATATATCAAAAGTGTCAAATGAAGTGTTGTGTGTGTATATGGACTGACTTGTCAGGTTATGGGTTTTGCAAGTGTCTACAAAGGGTTTGCCAATGGTATGGCTATGAGGTAGACCAAAGGTGATCTGCTTTTGTGTAGAAATCTAACTCAGCTTTTGAGATCCATTTACAAGCCTATCCCTGCTCTGATTTTGTGCCATGTTGAAACCCTCAACTCAATGTGTGACCCCATACCCTTTGGTGACTCAAATTTGACTTTCTTTGGCCCTCTTTATAACAACTCAGGATTGGAGATAAATGGAAAAGAGAATCCCAGGATGAATTTATTCTCTTTCCTCTTGAAAAAAGACAAGTTGAAGAGAGATTTCAGGACTCTCTCATTATTTTACATATGTAAAAGGTGTACTTTTACTATGATGTTTTTTTCTTTGGTGGGTCTGCTGGATGATCATATGTTTTTGAGTTCCAGGAAGACTGCCTACAAACTTAGGCCCTATTTGGCAGCATCATAAATAAGTGTAATATTGCCTGATGAATTCAATGAAAAATAAACCAATGGGAAATTTGTAACAAATTGTTGCTGAGGCAAGTTCAACTGCTGGTTCCATTAATGCTGAGAACAAATTTGATATATTAGGCCATCTTCAGATTAGAGATGGCCCCGGCGCACCCGGATATCTGGCTGTTTTTTCCTGGGAAATTTCCATCCACACCCCCATCCACAGCTGCTGGCGGGTATCCCCCCTCCTTAGCAGGTATCCGAGCGGGTATCTTTGGATACCTGCCCTTTAAAGGGTCAGCAAGGCACCGGCTGGAAGGGTTTCCTTCCAGTTGGCAAGGATGTACCTTGCCGGCTGGAAAGGTTTCCTTCCAGCTGGCAAGGTACATGTACCTTGTCAACTGGAAGGGTTTCCTTCCAGCCGGTGAGGTACATCTACCTTGTCAACTGGAAGAAACACTTCCAGTTGGAGTTCCATTAATGCTGAGAACAAATTTGATATATCAGGCCATCTTCGGACTAGAGATGGCCCTGGTGCATCTTGATATCTGGCCAATTTTTCCGGGGAAATTGCCATCTGCCCCCACTGGCGGGTTCCCCCCTGCCTTAGCGGGTATCTTTGTATACCCGCCCTTTAAATGGTTGGCAAGGCACCGGCTGGAAGGGTTTCCTTCCGGTTGGCAAGGATGTACCTTGCCAGCTGGAAAGGTTTCCTTCCAGCCGGTGAGGTACATGTCTAGAAGGGTTTCCTTCCAGTCGGCCAGAATGTACCTTGCCAGCTGGACAGGTTTCCTTCCAGATGGCAAGGTACATGCACCTTGGGTGAGGATGTACCTTTCCAGCCCTCAAGGTACATCCTTGCCAACTTGAAGGACCTCTCTGGCTGGAAGGAAACCCTTCCAGCTGGCCATTGGCCTCAGGTATCCCTGGGGATACCTGGATATCCGCCAGGCTTGGGGGGGGGGGGGAACCGCCATCCGCACCCCCTGGCAGGTACCCGCCAGCGGATAGTGGGTATCCGCAACGGATACCCCGCAACCATCTCTACTTCAGACCCATAATATCAACATTATGTTTCAAGGGACACAAGATGAACAATCTGAAGTTCACAGACTGAAAGTCTTGGGACACTGAAAAGCAAGAAAGAAAAGGTTCTAATTCAACAAGTGAGAAAAACTCCTAAGCAATCTTGTAAAGACTATAAACAGGATTGATTGTGTTATGGTTGAAGCATACGCTAACTAAGTGAAGAAATTATGACCAAGGATGGTGAGAATTTTTTAGCAACAAAAATTGATTTTTGATGGAATGGCTCAAGGGTCAAAAAGGGAGGGAGAGAGCCAATGTTTTTTACTTGCAAGCAGAGCCTATGTGTTAAATAGACTAAGTACAACAAGTCAGACATGTGGTTGAGAAAAAATTGAATATAGAAATGAATAACAGTTTAGCATATGCATGTAACATTTGACAGGAGCAAATACTCATCAATAAAGACTAGACCCAGGTTCAAAGACTGTGGGGATTTCAGCACTAGATAACAAGAAAATATGCCACTCATACAAGTACAAAACATGGCTAAAACATATTTTTTATTTTGTATAATCAATGATTTATGAAATTTAGGGAACATGGATTTTTAGGGATGAGAAGGAAGAGACAAAATTCCAACACTAAGATATAAGCATATATCTCAACACATTGTGCTTTGCATGGGTAAAAAGTCCAATATTGGTACTGTGGTGCTCAAGGTAGCCCATTATCTCAACATTGTTCATACTAACCTTGAAATCAGCAGTTGACCTTGCTTTAGTAACACTTTTGTTACATATTTATGAGTGGTTTATTTTTTACTGAATTAATGAGGGAATATTGCATTAAAGTTATGATGTTGCAAAACAGGGCCTTGAAATGAATGTTTTGAGTGCAATTTTTAGGGATTTTGAATATTGTTCCAGAAGATTGAAACTCAAAAAAGAACGGTTCCAGAAACTTTAAAGCAATTTTGGTCACCAATTTCTATGGAGGCACTGTCATGCCACAATGGCCAAAAAAATGAAAATATGGTGATGTACCGCCACTTTGGCCAAGGAACTTCCAAATAATTCTCTTTTACCGCCAGGGTGGCCAACTGAAAAAATGATTCCAACTGCCACTCCAGTCTTGCCCCTGAGCCACCACCAGTGCTCCTGGGCCGCCAAACAAGGCCCCAAGCCGCCAACTGCACCATGTATCCAAGGGATTGTGACCTCCTCCCAACCCCTTGGACTCTACACTCCCCACAAATGATGACTGGTCATCCATGACAGTACACAACCCATTTATGACAGACACTTTCATCAAGGACCGGTTTTGACCAGTCCATGATGGGTGTACACCTCCCATTGATGAACGGTCATTGATGGGAGGACACACTCTCATTGATGAATGGTCATTGATGAGAGGACACACTCCCATTGATGAACAGGCCTTGATGGGAGTAAACACCCCCATGGATGACCAGTTTTGACTGGTCATTGATGTAAACACCCCCATCAATGACCAATCAAAACCGGACATCAATGGGGGTGCTTACTCCTATAAAGGACTGGTTTTGACGGTCAAAACCAGTCATCAATGGGAGTGTCAGTGTGTTGTCCCATCAATGGCCAGTTTGACCTGTCATTGCGGGGAGGTGTACTCCCAGGTCCCTTGATGGGAGTGTTTACTCCCACCTAGGACCGGTGTCAAAACCAGTAATTGATGGGAGGTGTACTCCCATCAAGGACCGGTTTTGACCAGTCATTAAACTCCCATCAAGGACCAGCTTTGACCAGTCCTTGATGGGAGTCCACCTCCCATCAATTACCAGTGTCAAAACTGGTCATCAATGGGAGGACTGTATGGCCAACTTGGCCGTTGGATTCTTTTTTTTTTCATTTTCCCTTTTTTTGGCCAAAGTGGCCTGTCAGTGCCTCCATAAATTTCACTTGTGAAGTTTGGAATAAAGAAACTTAAAATTAACAGGAAGTCCTTCACCATGTGGTATATACCATACTGAAAAACATAAAATAAAGTAAAAAGTGAATAAGAAAAAAAAGACTTACCAGAACAGCTATGAAGTTGGACATCCATCAGTCTCCACTGTCCAGTAAATTTAGGTACTGTTATCAAATCTAATTCATATTTTAAGCTGGAAATTGATCAACTCTTCCTCCTTTGCTATAGCCAGTCTGCTGTGGCTGTGAAATATTATAGACAGGGAAGTTACATGTGGTTCTCACCAACAATGAAACCAATCCAATCCCCAATCAGTATTTATTGGGGATCAGATTGAAAATGGACCCAATACCGGGTATTGGGATTGGATCAATCTCCAATCCAATTCCAATTTGTTAGACTAGAGATCGTTGCGCGGTACCCTTTGCTAGGTACCTAGTACCGCTTGGGGGGTACCCTTCACACCCGCCCCGCACCCGTCAGGAGGTGCCAGGTGCGGTACTTGGTACCTATTTTTGTGAAAAATTGAACAGGTACCTAGGTACCGCTACAGGTACCCCCTCACTTCCCTACCAAAATGACGGTGGCCTTCTACTCCAAGAACTCCAAGAAGGTACCTTGGCTACATGGAAACAGGGACTCAAGTATAACAAGAAGTCTAACCAAAAATCAAAAAGGAAGGTGATAGTTTTGGACAACGATGAAGATTCTTCTAATTATATATAATTTGTAGACAGTTTAAGCTTTAAAATAAAATATCAAATCTGAAAAAATGAAAAAATTGACTTGGGATTGATGTTTTACAATAAATATGAAAAAAGGCAAGATTCTTCCCATTAGATGTAGATACTTGACAACAAATATGAAAAAAATGCCAAAAAAGTGACTTGAGTAATATTTTACAATAAATATGAAAATGATAATAATAATGAAGTAAGGTTATTCCAATTAGTTTAAGATGTCTTACAACAAATATGACAAAAGGAAAAACAGTGACTTGGGAATGATATTTTCAATAAATATGAAAAGGGTCTTAGTTAAACGACTCCCAAATATTGGAGTTCCGACTCCCAAATATTTTGGACGTCACTAAGACCCCCTGCGGACGGTCCGCAGGCCGTCCATCCCCGGAGATGGGAGTCGGACCTCCCAAACCTTCAACAGGTTTGGGAGTCGATCATCCCAAAAAAAAATAAAAATAAAAGATAAAAAAATAAAAAAAACCCGGGGGTTTTTGGGAGTCGATCTTCAAAAACCCCCAGGGAGGTGGCAAGTCGGCTCCGGACTCTCAGCGGCGGAGAGGAATCCCTCTCTGCCGTTGAGAGTGTACACTCTCATTGACCGAGAGGGATTCCTCTCGGCCGGTGAGAGTGTACACTCTCATTGACCGAGAGGGATTCCTCACCGGCCGGTGAGAGTGTACACTCTCATTGACCAAGTGCGTAATCAAATCTGTGACAGGGGAGTTTAGCCTCCGTATTGAAGTATCAGGCCTGCAGCTCAACGACGATTGCATAGGAGCCACGCATGGCTCCCATGGGAGAGAGGATTGCAAAA